CTGAAGCTTCTGTCCCAATTAAGTTGTATCAGAGAAGTCAGTGCCTCAGACTTGTCTCCCACAAGCCATTCCCACAAAGCCACACAGGAAATACACAGTAAACCAAGTGACTGTAGTTGTGCTGCTCCTGGGACTGTCTAATCTTTCTTACCAAAGTGCATTTGAACTGCAGAGAGTGTCACTAACACACACCCATTGCAATAAAAACAGATGAAAGCTCAAAGAATAAAGAAGCTGAAAAAGTTGAAAGTGGAGGGACTAAAATTCCGTGGGAAAAACAGCCATCTGTGCTCTCCCAAATTCTGACAAAAAACTACAAACAAGCAAGAATTCTTGCATGTGCTTGACCTGTTTAAACTGTATTAGCAGAAGAATCCAAAAGGCTTATGCAGCCTGTGAGATCAGATCTTTGCAGATATTCGTCAGAGAGGGGATTTTTACAAGGGTCTGGAGTGGCAGGACGAGGGGGAATGGCTTCAGACTAAAAGAGGGCAGGGTTAGATTGGATACTGGAAATGAATTGTTGACTGTGAGGGTGGGGAGGCCCTGGCACAGGTTGCCCAGAAAAGCTGTGGATGCCCCATCCCTGGAAGTGTTCAAGGCCAGGTTGGATGGGGTTTGGAGCAACCTGGGCTAGTGGAAGGTGTCCCTGCCCACGGCAGGGGGCTTGGAAAGAGATGATCTTTTAGGTTCCTTCCAACCCAAACCACCTTTAGCTGTTCTGCTGCGTCTATTGCAGAAACATTTCTAAATACTGGAGCAAATTTATAGATTTCAACATCCTCAAAGTACTTTACCAACAAACCCTGAATAATCAAATAGGTAGCAATGGGATTTGAAGCAGGAGAGAATATTTTTTATGATTCACATTTGAAATTTTAGAGGATTTAATAGATTGGAGGTCATTTTAGAAATAGAATTGCATTTGAAAAAAAGGGTTCTATACAGTTCCTGCTAAAGCAGAGCTACGCTGCAAGGATCCACAGGACCCCTACAAAGTCCCAGTTCTTTAGCTAACCACATGGAAAAGTATTTGCTTGGACAAGGCTAAAATGCCCACTGGTCCAGAGTTATGTTCCCCTTACGACAATTTTGACTAGAATAGCACATTTTGCTTAAATTTAGCCCATTTCAAGTCCTCACACTTGTGTTTGCGAGAGCCTCAGTGCAGTAGGTGCCTCATCACTCAGCAGCACGGGAGAAAGGGGGCACTGATGGGCACACACTGCAGGAGGAAATGTTCTTTCCTTTGTATTCCTGAGAGTTGTTTTTGTCTGGCCGGAACTGGTGTTTGAAATAACCCACTAACCATGACAATTGCTGTCTGATGAGTGTCACGGAGAGCAAAGAGCAGTAATAACCCCTTGTGTTTGTGAAATAGTCTGTGGACTAACAAATTAATTACCACTGTCTGAATTCCACATTTTCTTGCTCCAGAAATCAAGAGTGTGTTTTGCCAAGTTCCTCCCAAGATCTGCCAACTGCAGACTTGAGCCTGTTCCCTCCAGGATGGCTGAAATGGAAGACTTTGTAATGCAGATGCCCATCTCGGTTTGTGATAGTTAAATATCCAGTGATTTTCCACTTGGGCACATTATACACACAGCCAAAGTAAGATCTAGAAAAGCAGGGGAGCCATTGCAAGGTCTTAGGGATGAGTGATGAGCATTAAGACGTAATCCTACTCAGTACATTTTGCAGAATTCATATTAAAACCTAAAACTGAGTTGGACCACTTGCCCAGCTTGCTCACACAGCTAAATAACGTGTGCTTCACCAGAAGGTGATGATTAAAAACTGACCTGAGCCTGCTCAGTTCACAAAAGGTTTGCAGGCTTTTGGCTGCACAAATCCTCGTGCAAACACAAAGTCATTCCTTCCTTGCTGTCAGGGCAGTTATGGAGTGTGCTGGAAGGTTGGTGTAGGATCCTCAGTGCTCCATGAACACAGACTGCTTGGTCTCTGCTTTTTCTGCCGGGGCAGCACTGAGGCTTTGAACCCAAGAAAAAACCTGTCCCTGGTGGTGCAAAGTAAGAATTTTGGAAAAAAGATTCGGAAGGCGTATAGAATATCCCTTTATCATCCTCTTTTTGGAAGACCTTCCCAGAGCCAGGGATAATGCAAGACAAGTTCCCAGACACTTTCAACTGTGTATCAAAGGTATGACAAGTTCCCAGACCTTTCAAGTCTGTATCAAAAATATGAACCACTGTACAAAAAAAATACAAATTTCTTTAAATGCATTGCAAGTTTTCCATCCTTCCTGAGTGACCCCTAACTTCTCTCACCTTCAGTGATTTCAAGAGGGGATAGTACTGAATAGGCAAAATGAACAGGGGAGAAACCAAAAACAACCAGGCACAAAAATCATGAAAGATCAAGTTTCTGTATGACCATTTTTCATGAGATGGAGACTTCCATGAAAACCTTTGGTCACTGCTCACAGTGGGGTGTACACTTGTTTTCTAAAGAATTCAGGATATTTGCTTTGGCTTCAGCATAAAATCTTTAAAACCATAGATCAATCCAAACTCACAATGCAAGACCTTGTATCTGTCTCCACTCATCAATACAGCCCTGGGAACACATTTTATCTGCGCACAAAGCTACTTTTGTAGGCTACAGACTTGTGATCTGGGGTCCAAACCTAACACAAGATAAACCAGGCACTCTGCTAGGATATGAGAAACCAAAACTTCCCTGAGAAGCAAAGATGAAAAATTAGCAAAGCAATTATCATTACTGAAAGTAGGAAACCAATTTAAGTTTTTAATTCCGATGCTGTAAAGGTTGTTTTCCCACTTGCAAGCAAGAAGACAAATCCTACCCTGAAGGCTAACTTACTGCATGTTCTCATCTTTTTTTTTTTTTTTAAACTTCTTTAGAAAATACTTGCCTTGCAATAAGAAAGTAAAGAGATTTGAGGTTGTTAAGTGATCTAAATATTGTCTTACAAGTACTTAAAGAGATTTGCGATAATGAGCTCTTCTAACAAAGGCAAGCAAGATCCAACTGCTGAAAATGCAATTTGGAAAAAAATCAAAATGGAAAGAATTAAGAATTAGACTGTTGGAATAGCTCATGTAAGAAAGCGGTCTTTAAAGATCAGAAGTAGATGTTCAATAAATCTTTTCTCCAGTCTTAACAGAAGCAACCATATTTTCTATGCTGCTGCTGAAGCCACTCACCAGCACTGCCCCTCACCAGGCTCTATCCGTGATCCTCTCCAGAGGGTTTCCCCATCCATGTGCCCAACTTAAGCTTTTCTCTTCACCTCCAAACTGCAAGGCAGGACAGCACGAGGCTGGAACAGGAGAATGGTGCTACAAAAGAACAAACTCCTTCACCAGCTCCGAGTGTAACGCTCAAGGGGATCCTAAAGATCCTAAAGATCACTGTGTGGCTCTCATTCTTTTTTTTTCTCCATCCACTGCTCTTGACCTCCCTCACAGGTGGGGTTGTGTGCAGCTCACCATGTTGAGAGGACCTTTAAAAAAAAATTAATTTAATGAAAACTGAATGTTTACTATGGTAATTCTGGCTGAAGCTTAAATTACCACCTCATTGTTTGGGTTTTTTTTTTGTTTCCAGACAAGTGTCCTTACATTTAATACATGCAGATGGGTATCTGATCGCTGGAAGTCCACTGCTGAAAAGTTACATGAAGTTTAGATGGGAGGAGGTGGAAAAAAAAGCCAAGCACCTGGAAAACACTTCATTGCTTCTTTATTTAGATGCACCCACAGTACAGAGCCTCTTTAGCAAGTGCAAAAGAGGAAGATTACACATTTATAGCTGGGAGCACCATTGAGTTCGAGTTTCTTTGATACCATTTTTAAGAAAGTAAACTGTTTCCAAAGAATGACATTTGAATCCAAGAGCTTAAGACCTGCTTGTACTTTATCCAGAGGCGGAAGATATTTTTCTTTTATTGTTACTTGGATGTAGAGTAGAAGACATTTTCACAGTCTGGTTGGACCAGTCTATATATTTTCATATGCACCTTTTAATATATATAAAAAGTGTTTCATTTTTCCCCCCTACCCACAGATAGTTAAATGCAACTAAGTTTAAAAACAGTAATGGGACCAGAGCATTCCTATGGGGAAAAATGAACTTTTGCTGCCCTCTCCTGCTTAAACAATGAAATGCTAAAATATTAAGATCTATGAATCTAATGCTAACCTTGAAACAAAAAGCATGACAGGTCATTCGCTATACTACAGCCAAAAATAGGACAACAACAAGAAATGTATCGGTACTATTTATATTTGAAAACTCCTCATGGGTCCACGAGGTTATGAATACAACATATTTACAGTTAAAGTGATCCAAATAACAAAAACTCTTCTTCAGAGAGGTCATGATAAAAAGCGTACGCTTCTGTGGATGGGAAGCAACACTTGGATAAAAGTTTTCCATGAAAATCAGTTCTGTTCTGTTTCAAGATACTGCTTCATAGACTTCAAAACGAAAAACTGGGCTATATAAAATACGCTGCACATACCAACTAGGAAAAACTAATTCATGGCTCACTCCAGAGCTGCTAAGGGAAGCACGTGAGCCAAAACAAAAAAAGCCACACATAAATAAAAACATTCTTCAATCTTGAGCATTGTCATCTTTGTCTTCTTTTAGGGCAACTGCTTTGGGATGGTGCTGTCACACAATTAAGAGAAAAGGGCACCTTTGTTTTCCAACACAGAACTAAAAGCAAACTATTTGGGTTTTACTTGGAGGGAGAAGAATCTCGTCTTTCCTGCTCCTCACAAAATAATAGCGAGCTTTTTAGAGCTCCTAATATATTTTCTTTTCCACAGAGCGAGAGCCTGAGGCTGTACTTACGCACGTATAATGTAAGTACAGCTGCTCCATTTCTTACTCAAGCAATTCTTGGTTCTAACACCCTCGATCTTTCCATATACGAGAGTAGATAAATAAATTAAACCCTTTTATTTATGCTAACAAAACCAGGATTAAATTTACTGTGAGCCTGTTAGTGAACGCTCCAATGGCATTAGAATACTTTTATTTGAAGCATTCCAACCTTTGGAAGGGAGACAAAGAACACTCGAAAGCAATGAAAGGAAAAACAATAAGGGGAGACTTGCAGGAGGAAGAAAGCAACGTGTGCTCGGTTTGAAGTGTATGAGAGGAACTTTACTTTTACAGCTGTTACATCCCCATGACCCGATGCAATGCCCTCAGCGTCGAAAACGCAGCTCTTTTCCTTTGACCAGACAGCATCCAACCCTTCCTCCTGAAACCAATATGGCACAGGACACACGAGCGGCCACCCCAACGCCCGCCGGACGAGCCGTGAGTAACAACATTTACACAAACGAAAAAGGTCGTTTCTGGAACTCAAGAAGCGAACGAAAAGCTGTAATTAAACAGATGCACTGATCACACACTTGGGCCCCGTGTGCCGCCTCCTCCTCGGCCCGCAGCTCCGAGCGACAGCGGCGGGAGCACTGCAGGGCAGGACACGGCGCTGGGATTGCGGCAGCCTGTGGGTCCCGGGGGGTACGGTGGTATCATTGTGGCAAGTGCTTCTTTTGGGTACATCGCACAGTGCAAACCTACTGCCGGGTGAGCCTTTAGAGTCAAGTGACTAATAACATCACAGCGTCCCGTTCTCACGTTAAACATTCCTTCTCGGAAGTGATAAGTCATCTATAAACTTTAGATACACCCCACTATCCCCACATCAGAGGTAACAATCAGAGGTAACAAAATATTGCAACCCATCAGGTTCTCGTCAGTTTCGTATGATCAATAGCAGGATGACATGTCAGAAACCAAAAATAGTTATGAACAAACAACACTCACCTAAGCTCTAAGTACAGGACAAGGTGCTTTTTCTAATTTCACATTGTTGTGTTTTACTCCACCAGGTGAAAAACATGACGTTTTATTCCTCCATTCTATCTCAGTTTTTCACAATGGAACATAGTCTTTGAGCATGAGTTTGAGTCCACCCTTTTGTACTGTATGATGATTTCACACAGAAGTCACACTAGCAAATATATATTTTTTTTTTTTGGTAACAGAAATAAAAGACTGTCAAAATCAATGGGCTAAGGGACATGATTTGTTATAAATTTATTTAATCTTCAGTATTTCAGCTTGCACCTTTGCTTCAGCACTTTAAAATAAAATGTTCCAACTATGACAGTAACTGCCTAATTTACATTGCGTCCCAGTCAATGTTCTTAAAAGAAGCTCATATTAATCCCATTAAAACCATGTCGTGTTTGGTGTTGCATATGACTAGTTCCACTTTTTTTTTTTTTTCCAGAATTAACAGTGTCAAGTTCTTACAAAACGTTGTGTTTACAACATTTGTGTGCGCAGACCGAGGAGTACAAACTGTGACCTGATAATCCTGAAACAGTCAGTAGTCTAGGAGGGAATTCTTTTTTTTACCTCTTTTCCGTGCCTGAAAACAAGAAAACTTCAAATCCTACTGCATATTTAAATGGTAGGAAGAAAAATATACAAGCTTGTATTTATACTGTATTTCTATCAATGGCAACAGGTCATAAATTCATGTTTGCAACTATCACAAAGACTCATGAACACCAATTCAGTTTTATACTGTAAATACTGCTGGATTGATGGTTTAGGATTATCAATTCACTGTTGTCATATGTCTATAACAGTTCAAAAGCATCCTGGAGAAAAATCCCGAAACACATACCTTCCGGTATATAATAATGCAACTGCATTAGCTAAATATATACTGTACATAAGTCTTATCAGCATTTTACCTACCAAAGATGTAAGATTCCACTTTCAAATACAAAGCAGATAGCCAATAATGTATACTTATAATACAGCCCTCTTCTTTTGTTTTTTTTGTAATTTTTTTTCCTCTTTTGTTTTAAACAATTTGGTCACAATGCACCTTTGATATAAAAGCATTTTAAACTTTATTATTAATACTCAGAACATTAGGATTTCCAGAATTTTTTTTTTTTTTTTCAGTAGCATTTGTAGAACCACTTTTGGTAACAAATACAGTAGTTAGGAATGAGCATCCAGATGAGAATGCAGAAGTGTATTATCCAGAATCCTTTCCAGCTAAGACCACAGGGCTGGTACTGTGATGAGTAATAGTACTAGAACCACAAAAACACGAAAGTATGTTTTTTAGAGGCTACATCCTCTTTTGCTGGAACACTTTATAAATACATATTAAAAAGTAAGGCAACAACTCCAAACTGTCCATACTGCTACCTCAACTCATTTTCCAATTAGATCCATGACCACTGGAGATCAATTTCACGCTTGTGTTGTTTAGCATGTGTGTTCTTTCTAAATGGTCCAATAAAAACATACGGTAATAATTTAGCAGTTAGTGTTTCTAACCCAACTCTGGTACGTGCCTCCAATGCTGCATCACTAATACTGGTTAGGTACCGAAGTCCAGGGTGTTACCACTGCCCATTTTTTCAAGGATTGTGGACACTAATTTGGATTTGCAATAAAAAGGTGCACGAATCCAAAGCTCCCCTTCCTACTACGTTTATCACCTACTTGTTTTTTTAACTCCTAATGTTCAAATTAAGGAAGCACCAGAGACAGCCTGGTACTAAAAAAATTCTCACACCAGTAAACAAAACTTTTATTCAGGACCAGTGTTTTTCGTGGCCCTGATCTGAATGGACATTCAACTTATGAAGATGTGCAAAAGGAAAAAAAAAGTCAAATTACAGTAAAGTTATCCAGAGAAGGAGGATGTTACACAAACTCATAAGGAAATGACAGTCTTTTTTCTCTTTTACTATAAATACACGTAACAGTTTAGCAGAAAGACAAGCTAAATTTTAAGATTGTTCACATTTGAAAGTTGTATTATACTCTCTGCTAATGATAAATAAGGAACAGGTCCTGACAATGGAATTTGACATTGCAATTTTCATCAACAGATCTTTGAAGACTGGTTTTAAAGAAGGGTTAAAACAATGATTATGTTTGCAAAGTTCTGAGAAGTCCATCTGTTGTCCAAACTTTGGATTAAAGTCCTTATTTTTTTCCTTTACTTAGAGACAGGTATATACAGTGCTGTTGTAATAATGAAACAAATGTGAAATCTACTGTAAAGTTGCACAATACAGAAAACTGTTGCTCCATCTTCTACTACATAAATGTGTGACTCCACAGGTTAATAATGCTGTTTTGTTTTTTTGTTAAGTTGGAATTATTCCATCACGTCTAAGACCTCTCTTTAATTCCAAATCCTCCAGTTTTTTCCACAGTTCTTCACGTTCTTTCTCTTTCTTCTTCTCACTGACAGATGAAATAAAACAAAGTGTTAGCAGGAGAGAAGGCTGTATAATATTTATGTTAAAATATATATATTTGACATTATTAGCTGCACTAATTTTCAAGAACATAACTGCAATTTTCCCAATAAATTTAATTTTTAAAAATATTTTCTTTTTTTTGTTGTTACCTATATAAATATAACTAAAAGCAGTATGAGAAGAACATAAAACATAAGCTGAGCAAAGTGACAGTGTTCATAGACACTAGTCTGTAATGAGGAAGAAAAAATACAGTATACTTTTTATTACGGGCCTAGTGGGTCAAGATTATAAAAATTAACATTATGAATTAAATTATTTAATTATTTTCAAGTTTGTTTATTTAAGCATGGCATTTTTTTATTATTAAAAATAACAGCCATTTTCTAGAAGAAGCTTTCCCTGATTCTTTAGGAATTGCTGTTCTTACTTCCACTGACCGGTGGCTTCCATTTAGCTCAGGCACCAGCCAAGGCAAAGTTCAAGCTAAAAGATCTGCCTTTTGTTCATTGAATCACTCTTTTTCCACACCAAATTCCTACCAGATCTATGTAGCATTTGCTTTAACAACAGACTTTAATGGTTGATTTGACAAAATTAGACAGCAAACCTAACATTTACTTTACCTGCACTGTTTGCTTTCTAAGTTTCCTGTCTCTGCCATAGCTTACTTTGAATAAATCTCCTTGGTACTGCAAGGTACAAAATGCTTTCAAGTTCTATTACATCACCTTATAGTTTCAGTGGAAATGGAAATCTTAACAATGACAGAAATACAGATTCTCTGCCAGTCACATTAGAAAAGTCTTAAAAAATATTTCAGCGGATTAGAAACATTCCTACACATCTTGATTCAGTCAAACACCAACATCTGGCTCATTTATTTGGAATTTTAATTTCCCAAGAGTATTTTAAACTTATAAAAAAAATACAAACAGCCTTCAGACAAATTCCCAAAAACAGTGAAGAAAAAAAGAGCTCATTGTTACTAAAAGTATCTAAAATTAAATACAAGAATAAATGAAATAGCCTTACATTTTCAGGTTACCCACCAATATTTATCTTCTAATCATTATGAAATATATGCCTGCTCACCTAAAGGACTGTTAGAGGATGATCACCTCATCCAACTTACCTATTCGATCTATCCAAGTCATTAATATTGAACATACTTCTCAAGTTTTAAGTGGTATCACAGTTACCCTTTTGACACGTGATTTTATTAAAATGCTAAAAGATTTTCTGGAAACATTAAGGTAAACATCCCAGTTTATACCTTCATGTATTTGTATGTTTCAAGATTATAAGCAGTGAATAAAAATGGTGAAATGCTTAGCACCAGCCCCAAACAGGAGATACAATGTCAGCAGGTGCAAGAAAAATTCTTTGTGCAGTTCAGCCAATAAACTTCCCCATTACCCAGCCATGGGACACACCACTTCAGTGCCTGGTCCTGTTAAAAGCAGAGTTTCTTATCTTAGGGGGGAAAAGTGCAACAGCAAATTGATTTAAGTCACCAGCCTCCCTCAGTGAACAGCTGGATTTGATGACCAGTCCTAAAGTTCTCTGCCTGTTTGTTAAGAAACCACTGCTGTCCAACTGCATTAGCAGATTGAACCTTAATTATCAACACCTATCAAGAACTGATCTGGCATCTTTGCTCAAATAAATCTCCAAATCTCTAAAAGAAAAATACCACATCAATGAAATATTTTACCACTGCCATACCATATTAATGAACTGTGGTACAATACCATGTTAATGAATGATTTTTTTGTGTATAAAACTCAAACAAAGCAAAACAAAAGGCCAGTGTGACTGGAGTCACACAAGTCAAAAAACAGCCTCCAAGATACTTTCCAGACTGTACTAACAGGGTCTACTGATGTGCAGTGCCCCCTGCTTTGCTTCAGGGGAAACCCTGAGTCACAGACAAGGTGTGACTTAAATGAAGTTGCAAACTGTTCTGAGCTCCTGAAATTTCCTCATTTTTTTCACCTGACACTTTGCATGAAGTAAAACTTCTGAGAAAAGATGCTGTACTGTAACCAGAAAATTACGATTAAGGAAAACAAAAGGAAAGACAAAAAGCTACTGGGGTAGAACTAATGATTTCTGTGAGTGGTGTATTTAATGGATCCTGCATGCTAAAAGACTCAGATACAGAGCAAGGCCTCTGAATAAGAAATGAAAGGGCTGAGAGATGCCTCTCTCTGCTTTAAGACCACATCCAGTCTAAAAACAGCAGTTTGGAAAACAAATCTTCGGGGTTTCCCTCATGTCTCCTTCCAAAGCTCAGTGTAACTTTTTTTTGTGAAGTCTTTAAGCAAAGTGTTACCTTTAAACTCTTGTTTTCCTATTACTTTTGAAGACCTTGATAAGTCCCTTGGAATGGGGAGTCAAAAGGAATTGCATGAACAATGTGGATTATCAAGCAATGCAGCGGGTACTGTATTTATTAAGGCTAAAGAACAACCTACACATATAAACTTACACCTTGCAAGGAGAAAGCCAATGGGCAGGCAAGGGGAAAAATGGGGCACTGTGTCTACCATGTGTGAGATTATGCAATTGCACCTGAGTGTAAGGGGAGAACTAAACAGCAGGCCTTATGCACAGCTGACAAAAAAAGCTTTAAAAAGTTACCGCTGACGATCTGACTTGTAAGTGGCTGTCAGCTCGTCAAACATGGTGCTGTTCATTTCCATAAATGCCTTCAACACATTGTAGACTAAAGCCACAATAGCCCTGTGAAAAATTGAAAAAGAAGAAAGGAGTCCATTAGTTGCAGGTGAAATCAAACGTGAAATAAAAGTGTCTTCTCTTCCCGGCCTTTCTGTGACCAATTCTGTTCTTGCAAGTTGTGATAATGTAAATTCTTCGATTTCAGTGAAACTACTTTTGATTAACATATTTAAAGGTGAGAATCAGCTTCCCTGTCTCTACTGACTACTGAAATTGAGAAAGCCAAAACTCCAGGGTAAAAGGTAACAACAGAAAGCTATTACATATAACTACAGACTCTTCCCTCATGCCGTGGAGCAGTTCTGAATGCAACTTCAGGGATTCAAATCATCAATGCTGGCAGAAGGAACAGAATTCAAACACAAAATGAGAGTGATTCATATTTCCTTATGACTTTTCTATGAAGCTGAATATTCACTGCCTCTATGCAAAACACAAGGCTGTATTTCAGGAGTGATTTCCTTGTACTCATACATTTCATATTCATTTCCCCTTTCACAGTTCCTGATCCACTGCTATGGTTGTCATGTTCAGACCCAGAGCTGCTTAAGAAACAGCTTTTCAGCCAGGAGGCAGTGAATCAACAGTACAAATGCCAGGAACCTTCTGGAGCTAATCCATACAGAAGACAAACTATGTGCCATTTCCCACATACCCCTGCCTCTCTTTCACTTCTTTCAATAACCTTTTAATTTTGTTGCCTGCGTGGCAGATTTTCTTATTAATATGTAAAAATTCTTTAAATTATCTTCTTTATTTTACATCAGTCTTTATCTGGCTTGTGTGTCAAAGAAACAAAATTCTTGAGAGTATCAGCAATCTGCAAACTGGGATACTGGAGTATTCTCATTACCAAAAGCATCCCAGTGCACAGTTTTAGGCAGGAGCAGGGGCATGTGGAGACTGGTAATGCCATGGAAAGTGTCTTTTTGTGACCAGTGCTAATTACAGAAGCTTTCCAGCAGCATTAGATTTGTCAGGTAAGCACACAAACTTGAGAGCTTGCCTAGGTACAGAACAAAAACACTAATGTTTGAAAAGATTAAATATTTTATAGTAAGGTCTTAAAACAACTGAGACCTGAATGTAGTACAAGCTCATTAAAAATACTGGGTTTACTACATGGTAGCCATCTCAAGTATGGAATACATGGCACCTAACTGTAATAGTATTTTTCATTAAAACACTTTCTACTAGGTCATTCAGTTTAAAATAAAAATGCCTGATGATCAGGATATCAACATGAAGTAACTGCTCAGTTACTGTAATAGAGAACAGCTGTATTTAAATAGATTTAGAAAAAACAACCCAAAGAGAATATACTGATGTCTGTATGCTTCACAGATGTTTAAAAAATGCCAGTACCAGAGGTCTCCCCGAGGTATCAGTCCATGATACAGCCACAAAGCTTTATTAATGCCAAGTGATATTTCTCTAGACAATTTACAATCTGGCTTAAGAGTCAACCAGTTTATAAAAAACCGTGTAGGAGAGAAAAGCTTGATGAGCAACACTTTTTCTTCCATAACAATGTAACATCTAATTTCTCTTTTTTCCAGCTTGTGAGAAGCTCTATTTTTATCCCATAAGGTAGTGATTTTTGTACACATACCAGTTAATTAAAAACACTCTGAGACAAGCTCAAGTACAGACTAATTTATATTGGCATGAGCAGAGCTGCACTTGGTCAGACCAGCTTTGGGTCTGGATCTCTCTCGTTCTAGAACAGTAAAATAAAGTTTAAAGGCAAAAAACTTACGGATTCCAGTGCTCTTTAGAAATCCTATAAAGGCTGGAAAACATGATGGGAAGTATAACATTTGAGTTCTCCTCTATCAAACTCATGATGTACTCGTTATTCCAATAATACAGCGCTCTTTCAGCCACCTTTGAGTCAAAGGAACAAATTATTATTCAGATACCTACAATTTTGTAATTTTCTAAAGGAAAAACAAATCACAGAGAAACTTCACAAAAGACAAATTAACAGGAGTCATTAGTTTTGGAATTAAACAACTCCAATCAGTAGCATAACATGCATTAATGGAATTAAGTTTTCATCCTATAATTCTGATCCCAAGCATCCGCTCCCTCTTTCCCCTGAGCGAGATGTTGCTGCTCACTGAAGACCAGGTGCAGACACTGCATTAATGCTGCAGCTGTGGAGGGGAAGGGAGAGCAGAGACACTTCCCATCTCCCCTTTCCCCCAAAGTCAGGAAGACTGCAGTTGGAAGGAAGACAATAGGGCTGGGATACCAGAGGAAGGAGACAGAGAAAGGGGAGGAGAACAAGGAGGAGAACAAGGGAGGAGAAATCTTCGGTGTGGGGAAGGTAACAATGACAGTGATCACCTTGGGGAGGAGCTGGGGAGTAGGAGGGAGGATGCTGATCTAAGTTATGCTAAAAGTAAATGTAGTCCAAGGAAATGCAGAGAAGTCACATCTGCCTTTGTGCCAGGGTAGGTCACCAGGCTTAATATGGAGACACCACTGGCCACGAACTCTACCTCCTCTTCACATATGATTCCATCTAAATCCTATTCATTCCCCTTCTTCTCATTATACCATGTGATGATATGTTTTCTGTCACCTCTAACCAGACATCTCCTGGTTACAGAGAGAAGTAAGTCAGAAAACAACAAGACTGCACCAAAAATGGGGAGCAGACACATCCTACACGGTCTATTATGGCAGGGACCCGTCACCCACAGTCAGAAGGGTTCAAAGTCTGATTGGATACAGTTTTAAGGCCTTATGTGGGGCTCAGAACAGCAAGTTCTGGGCTGTAACCCCAGATACCTCTAACATGGAGCTCAGAACCAAACTTCTACTACAACATATCCTCTTCCACAGAAGACAAGTATTTAAAACCACACAACATAAAACAATAATTACATTTGCAGGGGTGTTACATTTGAAACTGAGACTATACATTCCTACACAAACAATAACCTCTACCACTGACCTGAAAATGAGGGCTAGAGACACACTTGGCAATTTGTTTAAACAACGGTTCCTGGATTTTGACAAATTGTGATGGTTCAATTACATCCAAGATTTCCTCCAGCTCTCCTAGGAACATAACCTAAAGACAAGGAAGAAAGCATTAAATATAAAACTTCTAAATCATCTTGATCAGCAAAATGCTGGTAACCCTCAAATCCTACTGCTTCAAGGAGAAATGGAAGCCTCACAAGCTCAGCAAGACCCTCTCAAATGATATGATCAGTTCTACCTTTAGCAGCTTCTGGATTCAGTCTCTTTAAAGAAGGACAAGTGTGTCAAGTGCTGTATTTTCAAATACATCACTTTACAACAAAATTAGCATGGACATACTGGCTCAATTCTCAAAACCTTGCCTCATACAAAGAATCTGACCAAAGCTTAAACTCTGCTAACTAAGGAGAGTCTCTTAAATTTTACCTTGTTTTTAGAAGCAATATTCAAAATAATAGTTTTGCTTTTTCACAAACTCATTAGGGAAACTCAGATTTGCATCGAGAATTTGAAACAAAAATTGCAAAGGCCTAACTGCATCATTTACATGTACAGCAGATAAACACTAGACAGTAAAATATCTTTCATCCTCCCTGGAAAAATACTACCCTCATATACAAACAATTCCGAGTTTACCAGAGTTTTCCAACCTATCCTCAACTATGTTTATTTTCTCGTTTCTAAAAAAAAAAAAATGCCAGCACCAGTTCTCTGCAGAAGTACCAGTGCTAATTCTGTGAAAAGAAAACATGGTTATCAAACTTTTCAGAGTTGAAATTGCCCAAAAAGCCAGAATTCAAGTATAGAAAAAAATAGAAATATACAAAGAAATAATACCAAGATTCATCCACCATCTACCTGGAAACATTTAAAGATTCCCTGCTTATTATATTTTAGAGCAAAATAATTCTTTTGTTTCGTTATACTAGCGTACCACTTACCTCTTTCTGACTGCAGGTTTTTGGCCAGAATTTCATTAAACCTCTAATGACCTAAATTAGAAGGAAAAAAAAAAAAAAAAGATTTTTTTATTATTCTCTCAACGGGATAAACCATTTATGATGCAAAAAAAAAAGTATGAAAGGAATATTTACCGGTTCTGTGAGCGAGGGGTCTTTCTCCAGAAACTGTACTATGCAATACGCCAGCTGTGAAGAGGGAAGGATTTAAGAAAATTAACTCAGAACATTTCTACAGAGAAACCATAAGAACCCATTTTTTTTTAAAAAAAGAGACACCCAAGGCAAATTGCTATTCAGCTTTCTCAAACTGCACCCAACTTCAAACTGAGATGCACAGTTTGCACCGTGCAAATGCTCTGAAAGCTCAGTTCACGAGAAACAACGGGATGCTTCACAGAAACAATCAGAGTGACAAAGCAACATATGCAATTAAAATCAGAGCAACTTGCAATTCTAAACACAGTCCTACAACCAATGTTTTGAAACTTATTACTCTCTGAAACTGTGTCTTTTTACACATTTTATACATCAACAAAATCATGGGAACTCTTGAAGGATGAGCCGACACCTAAACCCTGGAGTAACGTATTTAGGAAGCACAGCTTTATCAGCGTAAGAAATACTGCACTATCTGCAAATCAGAGAGAAGGGCAACAGGTAGCACTTAACAGAGGAAAAATAATGTTATGAAGCTATAAAAAGATATCTGAGAGCATAAATGCAGTATTAAGAAATCTGTGAGGGAGAATGCTGAAGATGAGGCAAAAATGGGGATATTATTATTCAGAAAGTTGCCAGGGTGAAGAAGAGCCTTGACAGCACAAGACTAAGGAAACCCAAACATCCTCTTGGAAGGGAAAGGCAAACTTGTGAGAATGAGAAAACAGCAGAGAGGAAAACCTACAGAGAGAGCTTAACTACTAAGCAAAACCTCCACACTATTACAGATGTATGTTAACAATTTTAAGTACCTAATCAGAACAGAAACAAGGCATCTATCAGACAAAGCACATCAAATGAATTTTAAAAGGAAACCTATTGTCTTTTTTCCACATTTCAGAATATTCCCCCCACCTCTTATGTGCTACATAATTAAATTTCCAAAGCAACCCTAAAAAAAAATATAACTGAGCAGAAAATACTTTTATAATTTCTACCTGTGCATGGAAGAGTGATAAACTCCTGACGGTGTGTAAAGGGATCAGCACCTTCACCAGAAACTGTTTATGCTCTGCCTTCAGAGGTAAAGCAAAACCATTGATAATACTAGAAATCAGAAAAGAAATATTTGTTAGTGTCATTATCACAGAAAACAATACGGAGGCCCAAACAAGCACTTTGTAAATTAAAATATATTTAGCAGTCAGCACCTGTTTACAACTAGCAGGCTCATGCCATTTGTAAACAGGTGCTGACTTTGGTCCTGCTTTATATTAGCAGGGCACTACATCTCTAGGTAGCAATTCAGCTCCAACTTAGGAATAATCACATAAACAGCTGCACAAACCTGTTGCCAAACAGGTAAGACCTTGTCTATGTGATCCGTAAATTCATGTAAGCGAGGTGGTCCTGAGTAATTAACCTACCAAAATTAGATTAACTTCGAAACATTCACGCCTCTACTGTGCTTAAAAAAAAAAAAAATAATTCTACATCATGTAAGGGTGAAGTGCACAAAATTTAATGCACACACACATAAAAAAATCAATCAAACTCTCTGGCTGTAACTTGCATCTAGTTATACATTCTTGGCAAAGATGTGACAGAGATTTGCACATGGGCTTAAAGATGAGCATGTGCACACATCTGTTTTCAGAATCAGGGCTTATGATAATACTTTTTTCCGAATCTGACACTATTCTGACGTGTCTCAAAGGGAAGTCTGAGACAGATAATAAACAAAGACTCGTTTACCTTCCTAAAATTTCCAACAGTTCAGCTACGCCATTGAAGTGTTCAGTTTCATAAACAAATCTAAAAAAAGAAAAGTTAAATATAAGCGATATATCAGTTTCCTAAAGTGTTCACAAGAGAAAAATACCTTCTTCCACAACTTACCGTAGAAAAATATTATTAATCTGTTTTCGGATAAATGCTCTAAGACCCAGAAACTTGCCATAAATTCTGTGCAAGACTGTTTTTAGGTAGTCTCGTTCTCGAGGGTCTTCGCTGTCAAACAGCTCCAACAGCTGCATTCAAAGGAAAAAGAGAACTCAAACAGGGGACATTTGACAAGTGGGACACACAGATTTCTATATAAAAGTAAATTATGAAAATATGAAAATATGAAAGCACAGGCATGTAAAATGTAACACCCATGGTACCCAAGGTGTAGATACACAGTATTAAAGGAATCTGTTGGAACCCCAGTACATCATCACAAAACTCAGGCCAATCAATTTGTGATTAACTGGCTCCAAAATGCTGCCTTCCTTCCTCCTCCCCAGAATAAATACATAGGTTCTTAGATGCTGGAATATCTACAAATGAAGATAATCTGCCTTTTTTAACATCCACCATTCCCTCAAGTCTGCAGAACTAAAAGATCCTCATTTGCTGTAATATTCTTGTTCTCACAACACTGTGTCAAGGTCACATTTTTCTAATTGCTTGTAATTTATATGATGAGCTCTTAAGCCTCCCAATGATTGCATGGCCTTCATGAACGCTGTGGAAAGACTCAAGAGGGAAAGTCTATGCCAGCCTTGGATCTGCTGTTACAGGATCTCCACCAATTGACAAAAATCAAAGCACTGGGAGAATTAATTAATTAATATTAGTATCAATGTCAATTAAAACAAAACAAAACAACCCCAAAAAAACACAAAAAAACCACACACACACACAACCAAAACAAAAACAAACAAACAAACAACAAACAAACAAAAAATCAGAACAACCCAACAACAGAAGACCCACATTTAGTAAGTAGCTCTTAAATAAAATTTTAAAACAGCAAAATGGTTATGTGAGACTCAGTCAAAAGAAAACATATTCCAGTGCCTTGTCTTGTACATAATATATCCCAAAACACTGACACCCAAAGCTGCCTCTAAGAAGTAAGGCATGAAATGAGCAGCAGGAATAGCACCTGCAGATCTTTGTTTTATTCCCCTTGACTCTTCTACCACAAAAGTATGAGCTTCCCCTTAGCCACTTTCTTCATTTTTTGTGACCCCACAACATTGGCTACTCTGGTAGATATTTGGAAAAAGTGAGAAGGTAATCTTTACTTAAAAAAAAAAAAAAATCAAGCACCAAATGCACATAAACCAGGGAATTCTAGACAGTAATCATAATCTCTCTTGCATGAAAAGGAAAGTAACTGTCAACCATCACCTGTCTTGGAAAAGAAACGAAGACAACTTCCAAAGAGGTCTTACAAATGTGTAAGATGCTGTCAGAAAGTTATTACGGGAATGGTAGAAAGCAAAATTATCTTAGATTCACAAACAGATAAATTATAAATACCTATTACAAGTAGATCTGTCAGTGTATGTATGCTACATACATCTCTGTTAAATTGCTATACAACTTTGAGGAGGTGAGAAAGAAAAAAGGCTGAAAAAAATATGATTAAAAGTTATTAAGCTGTCTGGGATTTTGACTTTTAACATGCAGGTCTAGGACTGATGCACACACTCTTCTTCATTGTTTTGGATGTTTCTGCAGCTTGTAATGAGATCTCACTGTATTCTCCTTGCAGTAAGAATCTGTGGTGGGGATTTCATGAGGAAACTATGAGGTTTGTCAGCTGCCCTCCAGAGGTTATGAACACATTGCTTTGTTCAATTAGTTCTACAGTTAAATAAATAAATAGTCACCTCATCCTTCCCCAAATAGCACATTTCACCCTAAGACAGCAAACAGCTGGAAACACTTTTGTTTTTCGTTTTCTTACTGGACTGCAATGTATTTATATTTCCAGTTCTCTTATACAGATCCTCTCTGGAAACATTGCTAAACTAAGCCTCTCATTAAAAAAAAAAAAAAAAAAGACTATTATTTTGCTCTGTCCAATTTGTATCAACTTTCAACAATAAAGTTTTATTTTTATGGACAAGCTGCAAGACTTCCATAATTTATGTGGCTATTCTAAACACACAAAGAAAAGGGAAATAAATTTTCCAAAATAGCAACCTACATAGCACAGAGACTTGTGGATATATTTGAATAGTATGTCTCTTAGCAACCACTGCCAACCATTTCAGACTGTATATAAGCAGGCCTTAGAACCGAACAGTTACACTGGCACATACAGCATTTTATTAAAACATACAACTGAAAGCCAGAAACACAGCTATATTTCAAAAAACCAAAGGCAAAAAGCAAGCAAAACAGGAAAAAGCTTGGGAAGAAGTGCATTAAAATGTATCATTTTTTCATATGGTCATTCTTACTGCCAAGAAACACCACAATAAAGTTCATAAAATTAAAAAAAAATAAATTAATTTTGAGAGAAAGCTGATTTCAAAGGTTGGCACACTTGTGTTGTCAGTGTCATGAAACACCAAACGTGCTTAATGAACCTTTAGTCTCAAATCAGTTTCCCATGTAAGTGATCTGTAATCACAGATTCTCAGGAGTTACTCCAGACACACAAGTACAACAGAAAGTGGAAGGACAGCCCAGTTCCTATAGGTTAAACACAAACATTTACACACATGGAAATACATCTACTTGCTTATGATATATATGGCTCAATGGAACATTTTACAGAAAAATGTGGATTTTAAATTGACACGCTGTACACAGCAATTTATAAATGTGCATCACCAAACCACGTGGCAAGAACATGAATCCTCAGAATTCTTCTGACCTATTGATTGTCATATCGTACGTTTTCTGGAATGGGGTTTTTAAAACCTCATATTCCTCTTTTTCAGTAGATACCACTCTTTCATTTAGCAGACTTAATAAAGACTAGCAGGATTAAGAAGAAAAAAAAAAAAAAAAATCCTTGTTTTAGACCCATTCTCCCGGGCCAAACTGTGCCAAGGTTTGAATGTCCTGAAAGGGCATTAGTGGGATGTTGGCAGTCATGACCAAGCTCAGCAGCACATAACATCTAAGGAGCATCTAAGAGTTGTTTTCACTAGATTTTGAAGCAGAGTACATGTATGCATTCTAATGCAATCCTGCTATATCTAAAGAAATTAACATTAGCCTGGAAAAAGCTGTAAAGAGTGACTGTCATGTCTCTTCTTACATCTCTACCAGGTGCTGGATGATCAGATTGTTGCACCTCCTTGTTCAAATCAGTATCGAGGTGAACAAAAAAGCAAACCACCAGAGGTTTGATCCAGATGAAAAATGCTTTTGTTTTTGGAAGATGGATACAATAAAACAATACAATAATTACATCCTACTATTTTTGTAGAGTTAAAAAGGTCTTGTGACACTAAGAAGGAAATCGAAGTCCCTTCTTTGAATCTTTGAGCACGAGGACAAAGTGCTCTCTTAACCACAGTTTTCAGGTATTCTTCATACAAACAACACACATGAACAGTAAAAGCACAACTTGTATTTCCTGAGCACTACAGGGAAAAAATAAAAGCTCCATGGTAAGGGGTGGGAGAAAGGTCTTCAGAAATGCTGAGTATCTCCTGTCACTTCTAATTTGTTTTTTATTCAAGTGTCAGCCTGCAAGCCCTTTTCTAACTAAGTAGGAATCCTTCTGAATTTCCCTGATTTCAAAAGCAAGCTATAGGCAGCATCAAACACAAAGTTCTTTCTGACTTTGTGGTTATACAAAAAATTTACAGTGGGAACAGAAAATCCAAGACAGAAGGCTTTTGGTCTATCCCCAAAAGCTGAAGACAGAAGTTGTATCTGTGGAGTGTTCTGGCTTATCCCAGAAAACAATTTCCTTCAACCACCTCTGTTCTGGTGTTTGTCAAGGCCTGGACAAAACTTTCTCAGTAGAGGGGACTGGCTACTGTAGTTCCAGTGAAGTAACAAAGCACGTGAGAAATCAAGGAAGCTTGAACATGTGTAAAATACCTGGATAGCAGCTAAAAGTCATCTCTTCCCTTTAGCCACAGCAATGGCAAGCAAACTACAAAAATAAAGCTGCCTCTTGCCTTGCCCATGTTGTTTATTACTGATGCTGCTTCTCCTTCCATGCTTTTAACAGATCTCAGGCTTTACACAGCCTTTTGATTTACCTCCTCCCCAAACACTACAGCATCGCTGTTTCAGTACCATGCTGGAAGCAGCTTTGCTAACAAACTTCTGCCCCTTCCTGCAGAGAGAGAACGGAGAAATATTCTCCCCTTCCAACAGAAATATTTTAACAGTGTTAAGACACAATAAAACTGGCATTTAAGTAGACCTTCTAGATAGCAGCACTTTGAGACTTGATGGTAAACCTTTCATTTCTCAGCAGTTACTGTTTCAGCTCCCTCTCATAACCGGCAAGCCCAATATTTTGATTGAGGTATCAAAACTGGATCCAAACCATTTATTTTATGCATCTATAGCAACAGAGACTGACATACAAACACATACACTTATTTCCACTACCTCCATAGATTGAAAGCTTCCATTGTATATGCTGGTATAGCCTTTTTCTTTTGCAAATAAACTTACATTTTCAAATTCTAAACAAAACCTTTTTAAAGGAATTTTCTTTCACGAGCAACGTGAAGCCTCAAAGAAAACCCATCAGCTTACCTGCAATACAAATTTCTGATCTATGTACTTTTTGGCAATGCTGGGCTGAAATTCTTGGCTTTCCAAAAATCGTATGAAAAACTCATATACAAGCTGCAAAAGACAAAAAATATGGTTAATTTATGACTTGATCACTCTTCATATTTTATTGTTTCCCTAAATTATTTTGTTAGAAAATTAAGCACTTATTTTTCCACAGAGCAAAGGGTTAAAAAAATGAAAATTATTTTCCTCCTTTATCAAACTGCTACCTCTTAGTTAGAATTAATTACATGAGCTTTTTAAGCTGCTTTTGCTTATTTAACTCCAGTCAAAGACATTTCATGACCAAGAACAGGCACTGCCATCTTGTAATGCTTGTTATCATCTTGTAAAGCTTCCTTAAGTAATTGGAAAGCACATTTAAACTGCCCTCTGAACTGCTGAAGTCACATCAAATACAGATATTACGATTCTGAAAGGGTTGGTGAAACAGTTGGAAATATTTAAATTAAATTAGAAACTGCTTAGAGCAGTGTTCTACTACAACTTAAAACACAGAAGAAGAACACAAACCAGAATTTATTCAGAAGTTCCCAACTTACAGTAAAGATTAGCCTCGGGGCTGGAGAAAATCTGCTTATTTTCATGCAATTCCATCCCTACCTAAACTATTCAGTGGGACAGCAACGGACTTTTCATTTAGTGGAGAAAAAGAAGAGTATAAAATACAGGCAACAAGGAAGTGAAGTGAAACAGAGACTGCTGTGGCCTCATAAGACAGTAGCTCTGATCTGTCACTGATAATGAGCTACCAGCCAGCAAATCTCTTTGCTGAACCTTTTCATAAAGAGCAGCCATTGAAAACTTGCTCGTTTCTGCCTTCAGTGAGTCTGAATATCGATGCTGGAAGGAGAAAGGAAGTTTAAAAATTACATTTTTAAATAGTTTTAAACTTTGCCATGACAACAACATGCTGCAAAACTGCTGCTGCTGCTACTTCATGTCAGTGTTCTCTGACTTCTCCAAGGAAGCAAAAGGAAATCAAAAAGGGGGAGAGAGGTTTAGGAATAAGATGTGGAGAAAGTGACAGCTTACATAACTAACACTGAATCATCAGGAAATCAATTCCATTGACTCCTCACAAATACTTTGGTGAATTTCTTCCTGACAATGGCGAGTCATCCGCTGGATAAGAAATTCCATCATTTCCATGTAAGTAATGACTTTTAAAACTACAGCACTCATGTCACTTAACACAAGGTAACAGACACTTATGCCTGTGCTGTTTCCAGGCAGGCAGAGCTCTTCAGAGCTGCCTTGAAGCTTTTAAGATTCGTATTTTCTGTGAAATTTAAATATAAATGAGGGATGAACCTACATTTCCACAGACTCAAAATGAGAGAGCACAAAAGAGTGCAACAAACAGCTCACAGGCAGGGACTGTGCACACAACTGTAAAATACAATCCCCGTGTTTCAGGCTGAGATCAATTGTGCTCCTTTGCTCACAGAAACTCCCCAACTCCACAAGCTGATGTTACTCAGGCAAGCTTCTTCTCAATTTACTCATAGTGTAAGTCGTTTTCCTGAGTAACACACACAGGATCTGCATCTATGTTTCCAATAAAGGAAATTAGTGCCTTAGTATCAAGGATGCTTTCTCCAAAATTAGTTGATGTTCCTGGTTCAAAATCATGGAATCACGGAATGGTTTGGGTTGGAAGGGACCTTAAAGATCATCTCACTTCAACTGCCTTCCGTGGCTAGAGGTACCTTCCACTAGACCAAACCAGGTTGTTCCAAACCTCATCCAACCTGGCCCTGAACATCTCCAAGGATGGGGCATGAACAGCTTCTCTGGGTAACCTGTGCCAGTGCCTTCTCAGTGAGGAATTTCCTCCTAAAATGTAATCTAAATCTCTCCTCTTTTAGTACAAAAAACATCCCCCCTTGCACTATCTGCCTGTGTAAAAAAATCACCATCCCTCTTTTTTATAAGCTCCCTTTCAGGTACAGGAAGGCCACAATGAGTTTTCCCCAGAGCATTCTCTTCTCCAGATTGAACAGCTCCCTCAGCATGTGTTTGTAGGAGAGGTGCTCCAGCCCTCTGATCATCTTTGTGCCCTCCTCTGGACCCACTTTAATAGGTCCACAACTTTCTTGTGTTACAGACCCCAGAACTGGACACACTAGTCCAGGTGGGGGTCTCAAAATACCTTGTTTTGACAACTGAAATACAGAGGAAGGGATGATACTCAGCAGTGAGCACCCTGCTACAAATACCTCAAAACAAACCTTGACTCAAGGAGAGGAAGAAGGTCTTAGGGATGTAGCTTATCATTCGTTTTTCTGAGCAGCTGCCAACACACGAGCACTTCTGTATGAATACAAACTACCCTCAGTAAAGCAAAACTGCCAGCAGTATCATCCCCATGATGCTCTTGCTGAAGTTGTTGAAAAGCCCTTGCACATCAGAGCAGTTTGGAAAACAAAATAATTTTTAAATCAGTGAAGGAAAACAGGAATATGAGGGACACCATCAATATAATTTTTAAAGAAAGCTTTAACATTCTGCGAATATCAGAAAGTTCTCTCCTGTCTCTGTAGGTACCATATTATAGCCATGAACAGGATTAATAAATGTTAGTGTCTCACAGACTAACAGGGTCTAATTCACAGGTTAAAAAAAAAAAGCTGAGAAAATGATGAGCTACATTAAGCAATGACAAGCATTTCTTCTGAGGTAAATAATCAAAAACCTGTAAATGTGGCCACGATGCCTCCAAGGTGGGTTCATCTTCTTCTGGATCAAATTCATTGCTGTCACTAGGTGGGAGAGTTCTGAAGATATTGCAAGATACCTGAAAAGTGAGATAAAAGAAGGATGAGATCTGTTCTTCAAGCAGGCGTTAGATTTGAGGGCTGTGTATGCCTGTACTCACTCTAACAAAGTTCAGAACAGGGCTGAGGAGTCTGTCATTTTACAAACCTGCCACCAATCTCGGCTTTTCCTCTTTCCACTGATATGCCAGGGCTACCTCGTCTGCCAACACACTCCAGGAGCCCACCAAAATGCGATTCCCAATCCTGCTGAGCACCAGTGGGCTGTTTAGGAGTTGGGGGAAACACCACCAGCATGCATTTACAAGTGTGTTCATACAACACTTGGTTACTTTTCTTTGCAGAGAGAAAACATGAATGATTAAGGTCTCATCTGTCAGCACTTGTTAAGAGCTGCCAGTGCTACTCACACATTAAATGCCTGGACATCTCATGCCAAGCCCAGTACTTGGTACTAAATGAAAGCAAATAATAGTATTTGCTCGACACTTAGCCCACATTTTATTTCATGGTTGGTTCACTTTGCCTAATCTTATTTAGAGGTACTTTGGTGAGACTGCTTGGCTTTGTGAGGTTCATGCTATCAGCAGAGACTGAAGCAGAGTGCTTTCCTGGGTTAATTAGAGTGCTGAATGGAGCGTACAGCTTATTATGCAGCAAATCTGATAAACTGCAAACACGCTGTAGGGCCCTTCCTGCACTTGGAAGGTGATGATGTGCCTGCCTCGCACTCTGCTCCTGCGCATTTGACCCGTCTCTAAGCTGGTTAATCAAACAGCTGGGAAAAGCAGCCTGTTATCTCCTAATCTACACATGACCCCTTCACAATAGTTCAGACAAACTAAGCTATTTAGGAAACAAAACTAGTATGTTCTTGAATGTCATTATTTGTTTTTCCAGCCTCTTGCTCCTGCAGATGCTTTAAAAGTTAGTCTGTAAGGCATATTTTCAATATGTTGGCAACTTAGCAAGAAAAGGCACTTTAAAGCCCAGGGTTTAAATGCACTCCAAATACTGATAAAAACAGATTGAAATAGAGTGAAATATTAGAATTTGCAAGACAAACAGAGCAGATTCAGGTGCTCAGGTGCTGCATAAACAGAAAGATGAAACAGAAAAATGCAGGAAAGCACATAAGGATGTTCACTGAACACAAGGGAAAGACAAAAGAAGAGTAGGGAAGGCAAACCAGTGAGCACAGAAAATAAAAGAGGCCACGCTGGTTTGTGCCGGGACTTTTCCCTTCTGCCACAAGAGGGTGTGTGCCACTGCACTTACAGTACCACCGGCTTCCACAGAAGCCCCCACTCCGTATGTAAATCCCGTGTTTTCAAGCCGCGTGGCTTTCAGCATGGAGAGATACAGCACTTGCTACAGCCCGTGCTGACGGACACTGAACTCCAATTGCCTTGTACCCACGCCTGCCAAGTGACTGCCAGCATTCACTAGGAGAAGCTTTTTCTCCCTTCTCCCTCCTCTTCCTCGACTCATTCACTTCTCTCAAGAGCCCCTCCATGAAAAGACATTTCTAGTCTCATGAGAGGTCAAATAACTATTCCAGGAATACACATGCTACAGTTTGTCTTCCTTCAAGGATTCCTGCTATCCCTGATATGAAAGAGCAGGGAGAGCAATCAGAATCAGCAAGACAGAACAATCCCTGCGGTAGAGCACAGGGCAAAAGAGGGTAGCCAACCCGAGGGATTCCCAAATAAAATGGGGGAAATGTACCTTGGATCCAAGCACATGGGATTCTACAATACTTACTCAAGCATTTTTGGTTAAGGATTCACAGTCAAAAAAATCCCAGCTGTCTCAGGATTTGGACCAAAGTAGGAAACTAAGAAAACCAAAGGCAGCTTTTTCTTTTCTGCTTTAAACTTCATTTGAAACAAGAATTTTTTCTGCAAATTTAACCATGCATGTATTATTGAAACTTGTACCAACAGATCACAGAAAACCTAAGAATTGATCAGCTGTTTTGTTTAGAAACTGGAACAAATACTGAATTATGGCACAAGCAAAACCTGCAAGGAAAAGTACACCCTTTCAGAATAAAAAGCTAAACAAATTCTTATAAGACTTAAGTCAAACCAAGCCTCAAGCAGCTAGTGCCAGGGCCTTACCAGCATGCCAAAAGTATGAAGGGTTCAGGAACAATTAATTTAAGTGCCAGCACTGATACCTGGATCATGAGCTTGGAACAAAACCAGTATGATTTCCAGAGAGTGCCTATCAAAAAACTCCAGTCTCAAGGCAACTCAAAAGCAGGTTTTTTGCATAAGAAAATTAACATGCAAGAGTAAATGCAATGAAAGCTAGAATATGGTCTCATTATATACACTTTGCTCTCTTTAATTTTCTTTTTTTTTTTGCATTAGAAGTAAGGATGAGCTACATGGAGCCAAAATGCAGATATTCTCCCGAGGAGAACAGAAAGAACAGGTTATCTTTAAGTGATTTCCCCAGGTTATCATAACTTTAAAAGATAATGTGTGCCATTACAGTTGCATTAATCACCACAACACAGCACGACAGCTCATTTACATGCAGTGTCAATTTATAGCATGCTTATCTAAATCAGTAGCCTCTGGGTGGTTAATGTTTATAAGCCTCTAAGGGAGAACCAAAGGCACCAAGTTCTCCCATGCATGAACTGCCCAGCTGTACATTGGAGACTTTGACAGCCACCACACCAAGATGGGAATAGGCTACATCGAATCTGGAAAGAATTTTTCTCAGACAGGCATAAGGTACCTATTTAGTATTTATCCCTGGGCCCGAGCAGCATGCCAAAATTCCTTCAGCTGGATAGCTGAATCATTTCTCTTCTGACCTCTCTTGGATCATCAAGCCAAAGGACATCCCTGCCAGCAGCCTGCATATACAGTCCCTGATGATTCTTCTCCCATACCCAACACAGATGACTATGGATCAATACTGACTTCCATCTGCCACTGGATTAGGAACACCTCCAAGCCCAGATGATATTTTTGTAAGGCAAACCAGAATTCTTACTATTCTAGAAAGTTGTATCGTGACAGATCTCCCCTCTCTGTCCTCAAACATCTGCACGCTGTGCTCCATGACTGTTCCTTTCAGAAGCACACACCAAACTGGCTGTAGGGAAGTACATCCCAGATCCCCCATCAGGCAGAATTTGAACACCCAAGGTCCAGAAACCAATTTAACAAAGCAGTTAAATCGACTCATTGGCACTGAATCTAAAATTTCCAAGATCAGACTGGAAATGCTGAAATGGCAGATTTTTAAGACTGGAGATGCCCAGAAACCTCTAAGCATTATGTCAGTGTGTCAGTCGGGCACAACTCACAGAATCACAGAATGGTTTGGGGGAAGGAACCTTAAAGGGTCATCTCATTCCAACCCCCTGTCATGAGCAGGGACACCTTCCACTAGACCCACAGAGACTGAGCTTCAAAATCTGAGCAGATCTAATGACTGGTACCTGGCAATGCAGAACTACAAAACAGTGGATATCCAGCTAAAAGTATCAAGCTTCAAGAAAGCTTTGATTTTGTCACCGCATTTATATTTGAAATACCTTTAAGAAAAGAAAGAACTAAGAGGCTCAAGTCTGAAGTCAAAATGCATGCTTTGAGAAGTTCCCTCTTTGTCCCTCATTGGAGTGCTATAAAAATGATAATACTGTAACAGAAACACTTCACAAATTCAATTGCAGCTGAGCACTCCTACTCTGTGCTGTTTGAAACAAGGATTTTTATCAGTTTTCCTGAATGAAGCCTGAAATGAAACCAAACACAAACACTGGGAAGTTTAATATATTCCTTATATAAAACCAGGGTAAGTGAATACCCAGGTAGCTCACAGGGAACACCTGTTCTTCAATTAAAAATATGTGGAATTGTCCAAATAAACCCCATGTACTTACAAAATTGAAACCCAGTATCTCTGCACACAGTGTTGAAACTGCTGTGCATAATAACAGCATACATTAACAATAAAATGTAATTAAGCTGTAACATGAAGGCAGGCTAACCCAGCAACAACACTGGTCCCTGCAAAAGACACTGAACTTGTCCTTCTGAAATATATCTGCATATGTGGAGTTTTTCAATATTGTTTATGGATTTACATGCTCTACAGCCTGAAGCGACTACTGCAGTCACTCAGTTATAATCCCTCTATAAAACTCGCTGAATTGTTCCCAAAAGTTTGACTAAAGTACATCTTACAAACTGTGGTATCTAATTTTATCTTAAAAGATTGTAAATGATTCCACCAGCTCTCTTCTCCTAAAGTTTTACTACTATTTAACTACAGCACTGCTTCTGATTTCAAGGTTGAATGTGCCTGATTTCCCACTGATTCTTGTTAAACCACCAGATCTCTCTTACATCTGCATATATATATATATTTGCATATGCAGTATGTGTCTATCTATATATAGGTATTTTTATATAGGCATGACACTTTTCAACCTCTGTGCTGTTAAATGGAAAAACAGAGCTCCTGAACCCGGGCAGTTGCTGGTTTCTCTGTTTTTAATGCTGTGATTATTTTTGCTTCCTTCCTTTGACCTCCCACTTGTGCACAAGTGCATTGGGTTAAATACAAAAAGCCAGACCATCTCCCTCTTTTTTTTTTCCTGCATGTTGTTGTACTAATTTATCGACATTCACTTCTCTGAACAGTGCACTGTACCAGAAATTCATATTAAGATGCTCATGATAGCAATCCACAATGCTCAGGTCCTTTTCTGCACCACTGCTTGCCTGAATACAGTCTTTCAGGGCTTACTATTATGTGCTCTCTTTTTGCCAAGCAGCATTACTTTTGACTTGGCTGCATCAAAATGAACTACACTGGATTGTGAGCACAGTCAACAATCCAGATCACAGGCTGGGGGGAAAACAATCCTTCTCCTCTTTTCTTGACCTTTAAGTCTTCTAAAATTCAATGAGTAATGTGCAACAATTTAGCTCTAGATCAAGGCTCTTAAATTGTTAGTTTACCATCACCCACTTTGGTGGTGGTA